CGTCATAGACCTCGACAGAGATTTTGATAGTTTCAGCGTGAACAATTCCCAGGATGTTTTCTGTATCTGAAACCTGAGGCAGCAAGAAACAAACACTGCTTAGATCATTGTTTTGGAAGACAGCCTCTAAGTTCTTGTCTTTGCCAGCTGCTTCCCCCATGGCCTCCCTGGCTTGACAAGTGTTTGTGGACTCCCAAGCTTTCCTAACGTGTTCATCTCACAGGCTGCCCCGGTGGGATTCTGCTGCAGTAAGAAACCTTATCAGCCCAATTCTGCACTCCCACGGCAGGGAATGGTGCTGCTAAAGCACCCTTGAGAGGCCCAGGGATGTAAACACAACCACAAGAAATGCGAGGTGTCCCAGAGCAGGTGGCATTGGCAATTAACGCCCTCCTCTTCCATCACCTCGCATCCTTACTGAAATGCAGCCTCTGAACCACAGGGAACAAAATCCCAGAAAGGGTACAGAGAGAATGCTGGTCTGTACAACCAAACAACAGCCTTCAACTGTGCACAGCAGCAAGGGAAGCAGAGCCTGGGCACCTGGCCAACCCAGCGCAGAGGCAGAACTTGGGGCCACAGCACCCCTGTGCCTGTCAGGTGCAACTCCTCCTCTCTCTATCCCTAAGAGCACATGGCTGTTTGCTCTGCCCTGCTCTGCCAGGAAGGCCCAAGTCCTCTCACCTCCAGTCGGATCATCTTGTTCGTGACGCCAATCTTCTCGGCCTTGAAATTCAGCTTCACCTCAAAGTCCGTGTGGGGGCCAACAATGCCCCTGCCTTGTGACACAGAGAAGTCATCTCCGAGGTCATCCAGCCCACTGAGATGCCATGCCATGGGCAGTGGGCTGTTGTTTTTCAGGACCAGGGTCTGGGTGTCAGTCCTGCAGAGACAGGAAGACATTTCGGCGTCAGCTGCCTCGCCATGGAATGCAGCCTGAAGCAGCTCCATCTGAGCCTCTGGAACCAGAGTTAAATCCCTTCTCTTTGTCACAAGCCTTGGAGTGCCCTCAGCCATGGGATGACTGACCTGTGCAGAAGCAGCTTGTTGAACTTGCAGCTCGTGGGGGCTGACCCCCAGCTTCACGTGCACCCCTTCGCAGCAGAGTCGGAAGAGCACTGGCTCCGGGTTGTCCTTGATGCGGCAGACGAGATTGTCTTCCACGAGGCCAGTGGAACTCGGGTATGCCCAAATACTCAGCTTCTGAACCCGTCCCCACAAAAAGAAATACAAAGAGCCCTCTGTGAGCAGGAGGAACGGCACGCCTGCGGTGCCTGCCCTACCTGCTCATCTCCTACCTTCTTCTCTTTGGGTTTCAGCGTCATGCTGGGAGGGTCCAAAAGGAATGTCTCTCCTTTGTCGTCCTTCTCAAAGGAGAAATGCACCTCTGCCTCCATGGCGAAGTCATTGAAGATGGTTAACTTTTCGCTGTTGGCAGTGCAGTTCTGTGACTTGTCCCTGTGCAGAGAAGGGGAAAAGGCTGCAGAGGAGACTGTTGCCCCTACATTACACTGAGGAAAGCACTGTGTGCCAGCAGCAGGAGGTGGCACTGGAAGACCATGGTCTAACAAGCAGGTGAAGAATAAAAGGATCCCTGTCAGGGGCACAAGGTCTGTGTGCTCGTCCTTGCCTTACTTTGATGCCTGCCCCTATACTTGGTGCCTGCACCCCAGAAGCGTGACGATGCACAGGCCATTTCAAGAGTGTTTCACACAATATAAATTCAAAAGTGCCTGGAAAAACAACAATACACCAGGCACAAGGGTTCTTTCCCCTTTTTTCTTGGGGTGCCTTCTCTGCAGAGCAGCTCCTCCAAGGCTCATTTGCCTGTTATGTGCTCACGCTCACACATCTGTGGTCCCTCAAACCCATGTGTCTCCCAGCCCGGGACTGCCCTGGATTGTGCCCCTGGGACAGTGTGTCTCCAAGTGTGTCCAGGAAAACACAAGGCCCTGGAGATCCCCTGCCAACACCTCAGTCTGTACAGGCAGCACACAGGGATGCTCACTTGGGAGCAGGGAGCACATACCACTCTCTTGACTTTCCACAAAGCAGTGGTCCAAAGTGGAACTGCTTTGTGCTCATGACATACTCCTTGAAGATGATGTCCTCCTCCTCCTTGCTCTTCCTCCAGTGAGGAAACACCAGCCTGGGCAGAGAAAATGGGGAATGAGGAGCTATGAGATGCTCCACGTAGGAAATCTAGTCAGAAAACCACCTCCCCTCTTGGTGGCTGAGGCACCAGTTCAGCCTCCCAGCTCCCAGCAGAGGAAGAGGTGCTGGTGACTCAGGCAGCACCATCTGCCCCAGCCAGAAGGTCACAAGGGGCAGCCCTGGCTCCGAGGTGGGGGGAGCAGTGTGGGATGCTCCTGTGGCCCAGCCTTACCGTGGGTTCTGGCTGATGCTGGGGTACAGGGCAGTGGCACTGCAGGGCAACTGGTACAGCCGCTTTGTCCCCAGGATCTCAAAATTCATCATCTGGTCAAACTGCCCTGGCACTGTGGCGCTGAAGCGGATCTTCAGTTCCACCTCACCGTGGGCAGGAACTATCCACCGGAATCTTCTCAGCCTGGCAGGTAAAAAGGAAGCTTCAGACATTGCTAAGGAGCAAAGGAGACAAGGAGGAGGGCTGTGCCCTCGCCATCCCACGGGGCCACTGGCAGAGGGTCGCTGCAGAGCTGGGAACGATGGACCTTGTTTGGCAGGATGAGCGTGAAGCACAGGGATCACCTCCTCCCTTTCAGCTCACCTCTCAGGTCTCTCCAGGGTTGAGTCACTCTGCACTTGGCTTTTCCTTGACTCAGGTGAACTTCTGGGTGTTTCTGGGGAGTGATCCTGCAGACTTTTTGTGCTCTGGGTGGAGCTCGTCTTTTCCTGGGTGCTGCTCGTGGCACTCTCCTCGTTCAAGGGGTCCTGTGCCTCTGCCTCTGAGACCTTGGCATAAGGGGAGAGAGAAAAGGGAGAGAGAGGTGAGACCTGCCCTGAGACAAGCCCCTCCTGGAAAGCAGAATGGGAGTTTGTTAGCCAACAGGAGAGAGAATAAATAATCACCACCTGCCCATGGACTTGGTCTTCCTTATTTGTCTTTGTCTTGCCTTGGACACCCCTCCTTTCCCAGGACCCTCTCCCCACTGAGTCCTCTCTCATCAAGACAAGGTGATGGGTTTAAGTGATTTTTTTCCTGTTGTCTTACAGAACTGCTCTGTGTCTCCAGCAGAGCTGTCTCTGTTCTCTCATCCCTGGTGGAAAGGATGCCTGCAGACATGGGGCCCCATCATGTCTTCACTGCCCCTCCATGGTGACCCTTTTCCATCCAACCTGACCCCTGCCCTGGCACCTTCACTGAAGGCACAAAAGGAGTACCCACCACATCATCTTCTGCAGCAGCATCTTCAGGCTCAACAAGGAGGAAGTGTCTGAGCTCTTCTGCTGCTGCGGGCACTCTGTCCTCCTCCGGGTAGAGGATCATGGAGAAAAGAACTCCAGGGGGAATGGGAGGCCCTAAGGGACCCAGTCCCAGAGAGTCCAGGATCTAAAACAGAAGAGAAAACCATATTTATACTCCTGTCACCTTCATCCTCACACTCCTTCTCTAAAGGCCCCGAGCTTTTGGCAGTGGAGTTTTTGATTTATACAGACTACAAGTGCTTTTTATGGCTAAAAGTGGGTTAGCAGGCTCCAGAGCAGAGGCAGGACCTACAGTGGGACCAAGAGAGAAACCTCTCCCAAGTGACTCAGCTGAAGGGGACAATGCCTGTGAGCTGCCCTGCTCTGGGACCGTTTTTAATGATTTCCAGACTGAGAAACTCTCTGAATAGATGGGATGCTTGGACCCAGAGCACTCCCACTTTCCACGCATCTGAGGGAGGGTGAGAACCTCGCCATCCACAGAGATGCTGCGGAGCTGTTGTGGAGCATCATCAGTGGCCTGGACAAGGCTCTCCCTGTGTTGTTATCACCTGGGGGACGCACTGTTCCAGGGCCCCAGACCATGGCAAGTTCAGCATCTGAGCCTTGCAGGGTTTTACCTGCTTTGCTGGCGGCAGCTTCTTGCTCTTCAGGATCCTCTTAAACACCTTCTCGTGACGTGTTAAGTGGAAGTCCAAGCAGGGCACTCCAATGTCCTGGCTTCCGACTGAGCCTTCTGCACCTTCCCCTTCCTGCTGAAGACTCTCGTGGTCACCATGTTTTTCCAGAGGCTCCTTCTCTGGCTTCTCTGGAGACTCACTGTCCTTCTCGTCTTTGTGTGTAGGGGAAGACTGGGACTTGTCTTGCACTTGGTTCATGATACCCTGAACCCTGTCCCAGGAGGACAGAATATCTTTGATGTTCTGCTGCGAAAACTCATAGATGTTAAACCTCAGGTCCAAGATCCTCTCACGCTTACTCGGGACCTCTGGGATTTTGGTTTCCCGCTGCTCTTGTTTTGCTGCTGGTTTTCTGGGCTTACTCTGGACCTTGGGGATTTTGGTGTCCTGCTGCTGTTGTTTTGCTGCTGTGGGTTTTTTGGCCTTACTTTGGACCTCTGGGCCTTTGGTTTCCTTCTGCTGTGGTTTTGCTGCTGGTGGTTTTTTGAGCTTGCTCTGGACCTCTGGGGTTTTGGTTTCCTTCTGCTGTGGTTTTCCTGCTGCTGGTTTTTTGAGCTTGCTCTGGACCTCTGGGGTTTTGGTTTCCCGCTGCTGCTCTTTTGCGGGTAACTTCCCCGAGCGGCCAGTCTTCTTCTGTTGCTTATCTTGCTTCTTTGAGGCTTGTGACGTCACCTTTTTGCTTTCCTCAAGCTCTCGAGCCAGCCGCTCCAGCTCCCTTCTGCAAGCCAAAGAGAAAACACCCCTGAGAGTCACCACCAGAAACCTGGGCTCACTGCAATCCCAGCTGGCTCTGCCCTTCACTCCTTGACCCTGAGGCCAGGTAGAACTGTTAGACCATCTCCATGGACCTTCCTCAACCCAGAGAGCTTGGGAACATCTCCAGTGAGGAAGGGTGGGAGGAAACCTCCTGGGCCAGCCAAACCTAAGCCTTGCCATCATAAGGTATCAACTGTGCAACTTCTACCCTGAGGTCCACCCAGACACCTCCAGCACGCTGCCAAAGGTTGATCCACCATCTCTCTGCAGTGATGAATGAAGCCCCCCCTCCCTTGGTTTCCCAGTTTAAACCTGCCCATAAATTGCTAACACCTACTTATCCCTCCTCCAATGCCTACTTGGCTCCTTCAGCCCCCTTCTCCCTGGGCAGAGTCTGCTCATTAATGAGAATAATCATAGCAATCAGAAAGCAAAGGCTGCAGGAACGCCCCTCCTGCAAATCAAGCTCTGAACCACCAGGTTTCTTGCTGGAACACAGCTGTGACCAGGGCACACTTGTGCTGTCTGTCCTGAAAACTGATTTGAAGCAGCCCTGGCCATCTCCTCCCAGTGCAACAAACATCAGCCCGGGCTGAGAGAAGTGCTGAAACACATGCTCGCTTTAAGCAGCTTCCCCTCCCAGCTCCACACTCTTCCTGGGCATCCTCCTGAGCTGGGCTACCTTGCTGGGCCAGGGCTTCTCCTGGGTTCACCTGCTGCTGCAGCTGAAGAGCAGCCTAAGCTTTTATGGATGGTGCTCCAGCCTAAGGACACCCCTGGCAGACCAGCATTGCAAGGACTTCATCTATAGCAGGACTGGGGTCTAAAGCAAGCCAGCACAGCTCACCAGCCCACAGCCCAATCCTGCTGGTTTGGTGAAGAAGGGGGACGATGAAGAAGATGAGAATCAACATCACGGACTTTGAGACACCTCCATGGGCAGTGGCAAGGCAAGGCCAGAGCCCAGCTCCCCACAGGCCATGTCTAAGCCAGAGGGCTCACGGCTAAAATGGAGAGAAGATGTTCTCATCTCAACAGAGACGGCCCTTCCTCTCTTGGGAACAGGGGACCTGGACCTGGCCATCCTTGTGCTGCTTCTGGCCTTTGCTCCTGAACCCCTCTGAGCTCAACCAAGGTCCTTGGAGCAGAGAAACCCTCCAGGGACACTACCCTGAGGAGTAAGCCAGGGAGGCTCACTTACCTCTCACGCCGCTCACGCTTGATTTGTTCTATTTTGTAATCAAGCAGAGCTTTCTTCTTCTCAGGGAGCGCATTGTATTCGTCCACATCCACACCCCAGAGACATTCTTCCTCTCTCCGGGCAGCTTCTGCCTTCTCCCGTGCTTCAGCACAGACCACAAGAGAAGCCATTAGTGACTGCAAGCAGAGCCTGGGGCTCTGGGTCAGCTGCGAGGATTCACAGCTCTTTCCTGACCCAGCCTCTCATCCTGCCAGGAGACACTGCAGAGCTCACATCCCTGCTCCAAAATTCAGACAGCCCCCCAAACTGTGGCCTGGCTCAGGTGCACCGTGGCTGTGGACAGCTGGCTGGGGGTTGGTCACTGAGCCACGCCAGCTTGCACTTGTACCCAAGCTTTAATGATTAAGGTGAGTCTTACAGCCTCACATCTGCTGTATTTAAAGAAACTGTGAGCTGAGGGCTGGCTACACTGAGGCAGAAAGTGGAAGGGTCAAGAAAAAGATTTCTTACAAGCTCTGCTGCAAACACAGATATACACACAGATAAGGTTGAGGGCTTGAGAAAGATATGAGAGGGATGAAGATATCTCACCTTTCTGCTCTTTTTTAGCTGCTCTCCTCTCTCTTGCAGCTCTCTGCCTGCCTTTCCAAAACTCAGAATCCTGGAAGATGTTCACAGCATGGATATGAGGCCGATTGTTGACAGCTTTGAGCACGCACAGGAGAGAAGATGCCAGGCTGCTCGCAAAGAGGGTCTCCAGGCCATCAAACACCACTCCCTTGTTGCAGTCTCTCTGCTGCCAGGAGAGACAAACAGGAAGAGCAAGTCAGACATCGCACACGTTGGGCTCGCAGCACGTCAGTAAATGCAGATGTCTCAGGACACCAGCCACTGTCATTCACAGTCATCAGCTAAGACCAGCTTGGCTCTTGCACTACACTCTGCCAACTTTGGGCATCTGCAGCTTCCCCCAAGGATCCCTGCATGCAGCACAGGATCCTGCAGCAGCAGGCACAGACCTCCTCCTCTCCGAGCTGTACCTCACTGCCTGTCTGGAGCAGGAACGTCTCCATTTCCCCCACGCCACATACCTGCAGCCGTTCAGAGATGATGTCCACCAGCAACTCCTCGGGCAGCACGCGGGTCCAACACTTCAGCTTTTTCTTCTTTCTCCCCCTCCAGGCAACGAAGGTCAATCGCTGTCGTGCAGGAGCAGTGGCACAGGAAACACTTGCGATCTGCAAGGTGGAACATGGTAAGAAAAATAAACCCCTGCAGAAAGCCCTGCTGGCTCTTGGCACTACAGCCCCTGCACCAGGCCCTTGGTGACACGGAGCCCCCACTGTAAGCAGACCCGTCCCATCTCAAAGGCAACGGGAAGGTCCCAGGCATTAACCAGTGCAGATCATGTTTCCCCTTGGAGGTCACTGAAAATCTTGCCTGAGATTTGCTGGATACCTTATCCTTGGTTGCTGAAGTGCTCTGGTGTCCGGCACTGAGGGTCTTCTGGCTGTCTTTGTTCCCAAGGCTGGCCTGGGTTTTCTTGGCCTGAGCACCCTTTTTACCTGCAGAGGGGACAGATGGCTCAGCAGGGCTGTGAGGAGCAAGCAGGCACCTTCCACCCCAATGGGAACAGCCTTGTCCCCTGGAAGGGACATGGCACTTGTCCCCCAGCCTGCTGGGCACTAGCAGCACTGCTTCCCAGAAGCAACTCCTTCCCTGCTTATCCACAGGATAAAACACACCAGCCCATACTGGATTTTAAGGCCAGCTCTAGGTCCCTCCTGACAAACGTGCACGCTGCTAGCACAGTAGCTCCCCTATGGATCAAGCCAAAGATTTGTCCTCCAGGACCATTGTTCCCCATCCTGTATTTTCACATGGAGACTGTAACATGCAGCCCTGCCCCAGCTGCATCACCCGTCTCTGCTGGAGCTAAATCCTCCATGTGGGAAAAGCCCAGCTGGGATCCAGACCCTTCTTCCTTCCACCAGCTCTGAACCCAACCAGGTTCAAAACGGAGCAATGCAAAACTCCTCCGCTCACTGAGCAGCTCTGGCCTCACCCTGCAGAGCTCAGGGCACCAACTGCCCAGTAAAGTTTCCTAAAAGTCTCCAGTCTGATCTGGAGAACAGCAGAGCGTGCACAAGCTCTGTGACCCGACAGTGGGCACAGGAAAATCTCTGGAGTAAAGAGCTCATCTACAGCATGTCTCTCCTTGGAAACTCCTCTGGGAGGTTATTCTTCCCTTCCTCTCACATTTGCAAGGCCACACTCAGAGCTGTCTCGTGCTTAATGAGCCACTTCAGAGGGCTTTTTCCTCATTACAGTGGGCAATGGTTCTGCCTGCTGCCCATGAGGAGCAAGCTGGATTCAGCTTTGAGGAAATATAAAAACTTGAGAGGAAGAGACAGGTGTGCTTGACCACTCCTAGAAAGAGGATTATGTGCCAAGAATGGCAGTAAAAGTGCCCCTGTCAGAGGCCTTAAAATTGAGCTTTTTACTTTAAAACTAGCCAGAGATGCACAGCACCCACGTTCCCTAAGAGACCCAAGGGCTGTCAAACTCTTTCTCTGAGCAAGCAGAAGGTCGTGGTGGTTCCCTAAGCGTGCTCTGGCTCCAGCGTTTCTCCTTACCCGGCATCTGTTTCCTCATGGCTCTTTCCCGTTGGGCAGCCTCCACGCACACCTGCCGGGCACGGCGCCCCGCCAAGCTGTCCTTGTCCATCATGGCTTGTGCCACCATCTGGTTGAGGGACAAGCGGGTGGCACCATAATACTTGGACAGGGCGACCGCGACTCTTGTCTTTCCTGAGAGAGAGAGGAAGACTGCTTGGTGAACTTGCACATGAGGCATTTTCAGGGACAGGCTCTGGAAAACTCACAAGGACGGTGGGAAAGAAATGCCCTGCTAGGGGAGACCGCAAGGGAGGCAGCTTGCGCATGGTTACGAGCACCGAACTCCAGAGCCAGGCGGATATTCTGCACCTCATATTCAGCTGAGGACTTTGTCTCAGGCACCACCGCCCACCAGGATGCATTTCTCCTGCTTCCCCCTCTCCTTGCAGCCCAGGGCTGTGGCTCACGTACCTGTCCGGGGTGTCCCATAGACGATGATGGCAATCCCTGTGGGCTTTTGGGCTCTGAACTCTTCGACAAAGGGATTGGTGTTGAGGTAGCGCCTGATGGCCTGATCGATGGGGCGCTCACGCTTGTCCACCATGTCCTTCAACAACCTGATGCTCTCTTGAAGCGCTGCTGTACGGAACCAGTAGAAAAGTCAGCCTCCTGCCTACCTTTGATCCTGCTCATCCTCCCCATCCCCTCAGATCCCAGGAAAGGAGATGGCTGAAAGCAACGTGAGCTTGTGCTTTTGTTGCTGGGAAGGAGCAAATATAAAAGAGCCAGTGACATTAGACCTGGTCCTCCTGGCTGAAGAGCTCAGCCACAAAGAGTAGCATCAGATAAGGGACGCAAGGGGATATCCTGAGTACTTCCCAGTCCATGGCAGGCAGATAGGACCTGGCTTTGGTTACACTCCAGGTTGGTAGAGGATGCCACAGACCTTCACCCAGGAATTCTTCCACTAGGCAGGAGATCAGATGGCTGCTAAAAGCATGGGCTTTGCATGGAGAACAAGGTGACAGAGAGCTCAGGGTGTGTGGGCCGGGCTCCCTGCTATGTCCACAGTCAGAGCAACCAATGCCAAACCATTACCATTGTCCTGGTCTGATTCTTCCTTGCGCTTGGATACAATCTCTTGGCCCAGAGCCTCCATCATCTTCCATTTCTCATAGTATTGGAGCACCTCTGGAGGCAGCTTCTCACCCACAGCGCGTGGAGGTATCATCAAGGCCGTCCGGTCTTCAAACTCGTCCAGCGTGCGCAGGATCTGTGTGCGTGGGGAAGAGGAACCATCCATGAGATTCCTTTATCAACCTCCATCACACCAACAGACTCAGCCCATCTTGTCCCTGCCTCCTGCCTTCCTCCCAACAACACAGGCTATCCAAGCCCCTCCACAGACTGCCAGCAGAGATGGCTCACCTCAAAGTGCCCCCAGGCTTTGCCCTGGGGATTGCCTCCATCTCCCTGGCACAGGCCTGGGAAGGCTGGAGTGCTGCAGAGCTTGGGGAGCATGCACATGGGGACCAGACCTGCCCTCTCACCTTCTCCTCCTCACGGTACTCCTCATCAAACTCCAGTGAGTAAAACTCAATGGGGAACTCGCAGGGGTTCTTCACCACCACTGTCCTCTCCAGCTCAGAGCTGCACGGCAGCAACGCTCCCAGGTTGATCTCTGCGGGGCTGAACTCCAGCCGTGGCTCCAGACCCTGTCCTGAGATGTGCAGCACGAGGAGCTGGCTGTTCCCACGAATGTTGATCTTCACCTCCGTTTTGTAGGATTTCTGAAAAGGGAAAAGTGCCGAAAACTCGTCCATGACGTCCTAGGTGACAGCACCCCAAATACAACCCTTGCCCAAAGGTAAGGGGTTTTATCAGTCCCCACAGGGGGAATGGAAACCCAGATATTTACTTATGCTAGGGGCTACAGCATCTGTGTCCTTGGCTCTGAGTAACTGGGACGAATCCTGGTGTGCAGTGTAACTGGGTATTTGGGTATCAGGTGGGAGTAAAATGGATAATCAGATGTTCTCCCCTAGTCACGGAGGAGCGCATGAGAAAGGCCCTCAGTCCTGGCACTGATGCATCAGGCAAACACCAGCTCCATGAGAGAGGCAGATGAGCTCTCTCTGGCTAGAAATAAAGGTCATCTTCTCTGCTCAGTGTTTTGTCTGTCGGTGCCAGCAGCAGGACAAGCCAGCATTGGCCCTTCCAGGTTGATCCCCTGGGACTGTGCCAGCTGCTCTGCACCCAGCGCCACAGGCTGCAAACACAACCAGGCAAGGGGGAGGACGAGGGGAACCAGGCAGATCTGCTCTCCCCCCATGTGCAGAGAGGCAGCCACAGCACAGTGCCCTGATGTTCTCTGTGGGGATTTCAAGGCACCTCTCAGAAGGGTGTGCTGCAGGGGAAGCTGAGGCACAGTGAGTGCAGGGCTTCCAGAAAGCTGCCTGGGGAGGAAGAGCTCATCTACCACTCCTTGTGTTGGGTTCTCCTTACCACCCTGCCCTGACAGAGCTCTGAGGGCGACGCCTGCCAATCTCACCTCTTCCTGGGGTGAAAACTGGATCTGCAGGTCACACCACTCTCTACCATAAAGGGTTCCCTCACAGGCCTTCCACTGAAAGACACGGGAATCATCCTTCCCAGCCTGGAGTTCCTTCGGATGCACAACCGGTGTCAAACGTTTGTCCACCTGAGCACAGAAACCAGTCCTGTGAGGTCTCCTTGGTCTGTGAGGACAGAGCCTGGGTTCCTGCAGTGCTCCGAGATCCTCTCTCGGTGCTGAGAGCGCCCACAGCAAACCCGCATGGCCCCCACGGTCCAGAACTGGAGGGAAACCTGCAGGCAGGGCAAGCAGATGGGGAGCCACCGTCCTGTCCTCAGAGGAGGAGGAGGAGGAATGGGTGAAGACGGCAGAGAAGCAAAGCATCAGCCAGCGGAACAGGTCCAGGCAAACCAGCCTCGATCTGGACCCTCAAAAGCTTCCTCAAAGACGCTGCAGCCCAAGCGCTCAGGCAGCCACAGGCACAGAAAAGGCAAGAGGTGCAAAGAAAACCCAAGCGCGAAGTTGCGCGTTACGTTCGCCTGTGCTTTACCTTCTTGGCAGGTTTGTTGACAGTGATGGACCATTCACAGGGCGCGTCGAACCGGTTGTAGAGCCGGACTATTTCATACCGGCTCTGCCCAACCTGGACATCGGGGAACTCGACTGTGTCCCTGGAGACGCTGAGCAACAGCTGAACTACAGTGGCACGGAGGCAGATATGTAGCGTGGGGCCTTTCTCCACCTGGAGAAGGACAGAGAATTCAGATGAGAGTCCAGCTGACATGTGCTGCTGTGCCCAGCCTGCTGCCTGCCCCAAAAGCTGCGGTACCTTGATGGGCAGGAGCACATCCACCTCTCCCACTGGCAGGTTGGCACTTTCAAAGTTCACTTGAAACAGTCTGCTGGCGCCGCAGACCAGGAACTTCATGGGCTCCAGGTGTATGCTGAAACCTTGAACAGATGAAAACAAAGCAGCTGAGATACACAAGCAAAATGAAATGTGTCATAAGCCTGTTAAAGCCATACGGGTGTCCTGCTGGGAGCCCTGGGAAAAACCCCATGCTGTGCTTTCCTGGGACAGAAACTTAGAGGAGACACCTGAGCAGCCCTCAGACACAGCGAGCCACTCTGTGACAGAAGTGCAGATTTGCCTCCAGGCCTCTTTTGGAAGCCTGCTTTGATCCACCAGAGGATCAAACAGGCTGTTTCCTCAATAAAGGCTGAACACAAGAGCTCTGACAGGGTGAACTCAAACACAACAGATCCCATCTGTTTGCAACGCACTCCCAGAGTGCCCAAAGAAACTTGATGCCGATGGAAACCAAAGGCAGACGATGCTGGGAGGTGAGGAGGGTAATCAGCCCATCAGGCCCCTGCAGGGAAGCATCAGGGCAGTCACAGGCAGGCCAGGTCCCTGGGCACACTTGGCCAGGAGAATTCTGGCTCTCAGGTTCCCAGCAGGGGCACTGGGAGGAAGAAGCTCAAAAAACCTCCCCATGTGCAGTGGCTTGAGCTAATCTGTCAGACAGCTCCGTGCAGCCCACGGGAAGTCTCTCCAGCACTGGTTACCTGTGTCACGCAGGGCACGTTCATTGGCCTGGACGGTCACTGGGTACGACCAGGTGTTGGTGATCTGCACAGTGCAGGTTTTACTGTAGCCCTGAACGACAGTGCCCATGTCCAGGATGTACTCGGGCAGCTTGACTCTGGAAGGAGGAGTAAGGACAGTCCTTAAACAACAGCACGGCTACAGGTTCCAGCGGATGGAAGATTTAAATAAAGTGGATATTTCTGTACTCAATGCTGTAAAAACTCAACTCAAGCTTATGAAACCCAAGGCCTGACCACCTGTGCTGTCTGGAAGGGCTTGTTGGTCTGCTCTGGGCCCCCTGAGCTCTAAGAACAGGACCCTGCACCTGTGGGGAGCGGAGCAGCTCCAAAGCTCAGCACAGCGCTGGGGAAGGCAGGACAGTCAGCTGCTCACGAGTTATTGCTGTCACAGCTCTTGGGATCAGACCCTTTCTGAAGTGCCCACTGCTGCCAGCTCTGCAGGCACAAGGAGCTCTCAGGAGCAGGGGACACTGCTGGGTGTTGCCCTCAGGGCACCTGCAGAGAGGGGAGAGGAGTCCCTACTCACTGGACAAGCTTCTGAGGAATGTGCTTGTCAAAGACAGTGTCCTCTGGGGGGCAGGAGATGAGAATTTGGTATTGCTCCTGAGCATCTTCCTTTATCAGCATCTTGTCCATCTCCATCCGCAGACAAGTGTTGGACTGAGGGAAGGCAAGGCAGGGTCTGGTTAGCAAAGGCCCTTCCCAAGGCCCAGCCTGGTATCTGAAAGAGGATCCCACCCTGCTCTTGTTGAGAGGGGGAATGGGGTCCTCCTGTCTGGCTGCTCAGCGTCTGTGACACATTCTGCTCTCTTAGCCAGGACCTTCTCTCCAGGGAAAGAACTGCAGCATCTTTGCCTTCCCACCCACTGCTAGAAAAGCTGATCTGGCCAGACAGACGAGCCAGAAACCTTCCAGAGCTTCAGGAATTTTCCTGTCCCCAGGCAGTGCTGAAGCAGCTTGGACAAAAGCTGCCTTGAAAATGGAACCCTGACCGAGCTGGTGGCTCTTGGAGTTGAGCACTGCCAGCACAGTCCCAGGGCACAGTCAGGCTGCTGCTACTGAGGTCTGTAAACCTGCTAGGGCTTGATTTGGGAGCAAAAAGCTCCCCAGTAAGGGGAGTAGCTGGGAAGCTTGGTACATCTCCAGGAGAGACCACGACCAGAGGTGGGGCAGCGCTGAGCTGGTGCCTGTGTGTGGCCAGGTGTGGGCAGGGAGGTCCCAAGTGCCAGCAGGGCACTGAGACGCTGTTGTGGGGTGCCAGGGGCTCAAGTGACATGGACTGCAGCTGTTCTTACCACAATGCCAGGGCCCTTCACGTGTTCCTTCATGATTGGAAGCTTCCTCCAAATACTTGCTTTCTTCTCCCGAATGCCTTTTTTCAGCTTTTCTTTCGCCTGTTTCAATAGCTCCTCGTATTTTTTACTTCCTGAAGGAAGAAAACATTCACAAATAGAAGTGTGGGTGCAGTGCCAATGCCATTTAAGCTGAGCAGTCCCACTCCCCTGAATTCTGGTCTTCTCTCTCAGAAACCAACCATCAATGGAAAGCCACCTATGGAAAGCGCCCGCTGCTGCTCGTCTATGAATCCCCACATTCACTCCCACCCATCTTCCTCCCCAGAGAGGAGCATCTCATCCTCTGCAGTGTCATGCAAATCCAACCCTGCCAAAAGCCCTGCCAGTCTCTCTTACAGCTTTCCCAAGCTTTTCTGTCTAGCCATCTTTGCAGGCCTCTGACAGATGTGCTGGCAAGATCTGCAGGACGGTTCCTGGGACAAAGCCTACATGTGCTTGTCTGCTCAAGACTCAGGAAGCAACCAGAGGGGTGAGTGTTGGTCTGACAGCCCTGAAACCTCCAGGCTTGGTGGAGATGGGTGTGAGCTGCCCTCTGGGCGTTACAGTAGGGGAAAAAACCCAGCGGGGACTTTGCTGGGGGCAGATGGGCAGTGCTCACCTTTGATGCTCCAGGGCAGGTTCATGCAGATGCCGGCAAAGACCGCCTCTCCCTTCAGGGAGATTTCTGCCGGCTCCAGGTGGTCCACTTGAACCTTGAAAGTCCTGCAGAAGGCTCCTGGCACTCCTGGCAGGTAATGGAGCTTCAGCACTTGCTCCTCGCCAGGTTCAATGTAAGCCTGCAGGGACAGGAGAGGAGGGAGGCAATGCATCAAAGAGGCTTCGATGCAGGATGGCTCAGGCGACAAACGGGCTGAGAAGAGCCTCCAAGGCGAGGGTGCAGTGTGTCCTTCCGAGGGCTCATAAGGCTGCACCCCAGCAGAGCCTGCCCTGTGCTCAGCGTGAGCACGGCTCTGCTGCTAACGGGGTTTGTCCTCTGCCAGCAAGAGCCAGGCTGCACAGATAAAAGCTCTTTTGCCACCACTGTGGAAGAGGAAGTGGTGGGATGCTCCAAATTCCTCCCTGGCCCCCTCACTGCCCCACAAAGCTGCTACAGAGCACAATAGCTGGGGGCAGGGAAGGACCAGCACAGGGCCTGCGACAATTTCTGGCAAAGGAGCTTCAAGCCCAAGCAAGGAATTTGTAAGTGCTGCTTAGTGCTGGCACGGGGGAGGCATGGGCAAGGAGTAAGTCCTGTCTGATCCCACAGCTGGGGTACGCTGACCCTCAGAAGAGCCTCAGTGCCAGCACAGCCGCAGAGCTCAGCAGTCGGGGCCAGTCAATTGTGCCACTCACCGTGTTGGGCAGGACCACGAGCACACCAGGCAGAGGGTTGTCTGCAGTGCCAGTGCTGGGGCTCTGTACCACGTAGGTGAATCCGATCTTCCCCTTGTTCTTCAGGGTGACCTCTGCTTTGATGACTTCGTTAAAGAGCTGAAGAGAGGACAGAGGAGTGGGAAGTTACAGACACAGGCCTGCTGCTGGGAATCTTCTTCCTCTTTCATGGGGTTGAGAGCAGACACCGCAGGAGCAGGGACCGGGACAAGCTACAGGCACTTGGGAACCTGGGGAACCCCCAGGCACAAGGACCTGCTCAGGAACAGAGAGTTCTGGCAGCACACAGAGGTGCAGTAACAACCACGGGAGGGGGTGGAGATGGCCATTGCAAAGCAGTCTGGAGGCCAGACATACCCTCAAAGGTTGTACTTCCAAGCCCCAGAGCCAACAAAGGAGCCGGGAAGGGTGGGCAGCAACCTGCTGGTGATGGTTCCAAGGCAGCAGCTCTGCCAGGAGAAGGGGGTGGTACCTGCCGCCCGAAGTTGATCTCCTCGGCGCTCAGTTGGTAGGTGAGGACCGAAGTCTCCCCCTTCAGCTCCACCTGGTAGGTCGGGCCTCCCTCCACCTGGCACAGCGCCGTGACACGGGCGATGATGTTGGCGTGGCCAAAGAAGGTGAAGGGCACCTGCTGGCTCTTGCCCGGCTCCAGCACACCAGACACCGGCTGGACATTGAAAACCTGGGAAGGGGAGGAGAGATCGAGTTGTTGAGCGTGGAAATGGGTGCAGAAGAGCAGCCGTGGCCTGGAGCAAAGTACAGCTGTAGCTGGAGGAACCTGTTCCTCACACAGCAGCCTGAAGCATCCTAATCTCATCCTGCCTCCATGGCACTGACCAGTGGAGGGAGCATGGCGAAAATCTTCTGCCATCCTCACTGATCAATGCATTAATTAATACCTGACATTAAAGTAAACTGGGATGTCTCCTGGCAGCAAGACATTCTCTCTGCTGCAGAACTTGCCTTTAAAAGCAGTTTTTACTGCCTTCAGAAAAGCAGGAGACTCAGAGGTGAGAGCTCTTGGAGCTGAGGGGAGGAGTCCAGCCCAGCTCATCTGACTCCTGAGGCTTTTGCCTCTCACTCTGACTTACAGGCTCCTCTCTCAAGGGGCTACACCAAAAGCACCTGAAAAATATCCTGTTGAGCACCTGATGAGGTGCCAGGGGAGCAATGCCCTCCATGGGTGCTGCACAGGGAGTTCTGTACCTGTGGGGGCAACAGACCTGCTTGCCACGCTGAAAACGTGCAAGTGGGAGAGATTCCCACTTACCTCCTCTGCTCTGAAGCCAGGGGGCTTTGTCTTCGCTGACTGCCCAGATCCCTTCGTCTCCACTGAGCTCCGAGACTCTGCAACAGCGTCTGGCGGCACCTGGAAGACAAGCCACTTTCCAGTCCAGGACACAGCCACCTTGCCAAGTCTCACTGTATGAAAGGCAGCTCTGGGGTTGTCACTGCAATACCAGCTCTTGGGTGAAGGCAGAGACCTGAAAACGGGTGGTCTGGCTGGGTTGGGAAGGGGGTACATGGAGATCGGAATTTGCTACAGGAAGGAAACTGGAAGCCTTCTCATCATGAGGCAGGAAAGCCTCATTTTACATTGTAAAGAGAACAAGCCAAAAAAATCCCAAAGTCAGCATTGGTCTGTAGGCTCTGAGTGGGTTTCTCCAAGGAAAAGTATCCTATTTCTCCCTCCCCCATGTCCAGCCACTGGCCCTGCTGCCCAGCCCACTCTCAGGGCACAGAACAGCTGGGCAGCAAAAGGGGAGGTCAGCACAAGCACAGCTTTTTGGTGGCAAGCTGGGGCAGCAACACAAGTGGCAGGTGCACAAGAAAATCCACCTTTGCTTCCGTGGAGTCCTCTGAATCTGATGACTGTTCAGAAGAATCCTGCTTTGTTGCCAGGGAGTCCTCTGCATCTGATGACTCTTCAGAAGAATCGTCCTCTGCATCTGATGACTCTTCAGAAGAATCATCCTCTGTTTCCAGGGAGTCCTCTGCATCTGATGACTCTTCAGAAGAATCATCCTCTGTTTCCAGGGAGTCCTCTGAATCTGATGACTCTTCAGAAGAATCCTCTTCTGTTTCCAGGCAGTTCTCTGATTGTGATGACTGCTGGGTAGAGTCCTGCGCTGCTTTCGGGGCTTTGGCTGGCTCCTGCACACTTCCAGGCCTGGAGTATCTCCTTGAATAACGCCCACACTCAACACAGCCAAACCTGGCCATTTGTGGTTGGGGTTTGAATTTAGGCGGGGTGGGGATGAACCTGGAAAATAACGTAACTATGATCACAGACCTGCAGTGGGAGGGAGGGCAACCTGCACGAGCAGTTCCTCGTCAGGATGCAGCCCCCGGGTGGGTGCAGGTGCGGTGAGCTCAGACAGGGGGTGTCTCAGAAAAGGAGAAGGAAGGGGAAGGTCACAAGATGTTCAGCATCAGCTCAGGGGCTAACTAGCTCTTTCTGGGATGTGAATTGGGACTTCCTGGGCAGCCTCCAGCACTTCCAGGCCAAGGCTGAGCATCCAGCCTGACCACGGCTGGTCACTGTTATTTCCACAAGGCAAAGTCAAAAGCAGTTTGTCAGATCCCAGGCTAACAGCTTTGGCCTTTGCAAAGCACAAACAGGACACTAGGAGAAAGGGCTTCCAGGAGAGGGCAAAGGTGCACATACCCTGTCGGGTACTCCACGCTGTCCATCTGGAATGACCAGTGGTAGCGGGCAGGAATTGGGCTGCAGTTGGTCATCTCCAGGTAACGCACTTGTTCTGTGCCACCCTTGATGCAACCAAAGTCCAGTTCTTTGGTCGGGATATGCAGATTGGGAAGTAGACTTCTCCCCGAACGGTGATCTCTTTCTCAAGAGAATGTTCCACTAGCCGGATCTTCACAGTCTTCTCTGCTACCCAGCTGATGGGATCCTTTTTATGAGCTGGGTTAAAGCCAACGTAGAGATGAAGCTCCTCCCCTGCCTCCATCTTCACAGGCTGCAAGAAGACAAGGAGTATTAATCACCCACACGATGAAGTCCCAAGGTCTGACAGCATGAAACAGTAAATGCTCAAAGTGTGACCCCAGCACGGGCTTCCCAGTCCACCCTTCTTTTCTTTACAAGGGAGGGTCTGACTGCAAGAATCACACTCTGGTGGGGGATTCTCAGGCTCCTGTTTCTGTGCTCAGCAGCAATGCAAGAGGATGGCTGCTGGAGAGCTGGGCTGCTCTCCAGGAGACACCTTTGCTGCATGGCTTGCCCACACCTGGCTGCCTGCTCCCTTCTCCTCGTATCTGAGAGCCAGGAGGGATCTCTGCAATTCAGAGGAGTTTTTGCTTCCCTCAGCAGCTCTCCTGACTCCATTCACAGTTCAGGCCTGTCCACTGCTGATTCTACAGAATAAACTTCTCGACTCGAGGACCTCCCAGCAGAAGGGCACCCCTTCACCAGCCCTCCCTCTTCAAAGCCCACTGGCAGGAGGGTCCTTGGCTGCTCACCTGAGCCTCTGCAGGGAGGGGCTGCTGGTCCGTGTCACAGATTAGGAACGGCTCCTCCACGTCCAGCAAGAGGCTGAATGGCAGGGAGCAGGTGTTCTTTAAAGACAGAGGCTTGTACTGAAGAGTCAGGACATCATTGGGGTACTACAGAAACAGGAGACAAGGAAAAACAACCTCAAGTAGCCATAGACCTCCTTCTCCTTCCAATGCATTTCACATGCATGTGTGGGTCCTTTGAAGCAGGTGAGGCTTGGGGAAATGCACAGAGCTGTACCATACAGCTGTACCACAGAGCATCCATAACAACAGCAGAGAAAGCAAAGACACATCGGAGATGACAGGTTTTTCCTCATCAGCCTGAGGAATTCACAGGAATCTCTGGTTTTCCCAGCTTCCCTACAGCACTGGTGTTCAGACATCACTGTGAGTTGGAGGATCCTCAAAACCCTCCCTTGATAGAGAACACAGAAACTGGCATTTCTCTCCAAGTGGCCATGGTCCCCCTCAGCAGTGCAGCTGTAGCTGCAACTGGACTCTGAGGAAGTTAAAAACCACTCTCATCTCTAAAAACATCCTCACTTACTTTACAAAGTGCCTCAGGAAAGGTAAAGAGGGCTGTTAACACAAGCACACACCTCCCACAAGCTCTCTCACTGAGCCATGCTGTTAAATGCCAGGATGCAATCCAGAGACTTACCTTCTCCACGCAGAAAGTGATTGCACTGGATGATATTTCCAGGGCGGCAGAAATGAACTTGCAGGTGACCTTTGTCTTTATTATCTCTTTCATAGTTATCTCTGACCCCACGGCTGTGTGACACACCAGCTCCTCCTTCACCTCCTGCATGCAAGAGTCACTTGTCACCAGTGGTGCTGGCAGGGTGTCCAGCAAATGCCCTGCCTTGGCTCCTCACCCACCATGGCCCACAAAGCTACAGACACAGCCCCCTTTCCTCCCTGTGCTGCAGCCCATTCCTTGTGCGCTCAAATGTCCGTAACGCTGCACCCCAACAGCCACAAAAGGCACTCGGGAGACACTCCCTCCCTTCACAGGGCTTCTCTTTTACTCCTTGTTTACCCCTGATAAACCACTTGGCACTTGTTTAATTCACTTTCTGCCTGGGCTCCTAGTTTAAGTGTAACCTATTTTCTCTGCCTTTCCTTTCTGCCTCAGCAGGCGACACTGGTAACCTCCTGTTTGCCCCAAAGGACCAAACTTCCTTCAGCCCATATTTTGGGATCAGCATTGGGTTTTGGGAGCTGTGGAATCACAAAAAAGCCATAGCAACTGATGGTGGCCAGCAAGGAAAGCCACTGGTGCTGCCATGGAAACCTGTAGCCTTAAACACTCCCTTGAAGGCCCTTGCTCATTTTCCCAGGCAAACGTCAAGGGGCTGCAGGAGAAGCCCCAGAGGAGGGGACCTGATGGGGAAGGCTCAGCCCTTGGCAGGGACCTCACCTGGACAGTGCTGGAGAAGCCTTCCAGCACCAGCTCCTTAGTCTCGCCTGGCTGCAGATGCATACACCGTGGCCGCAGCTTAAATATGGGGGTGGCAGATTTGGGTCTCTGGGAAGCATTTTTGCCCTTGGGGACACTGAGGGCAGGGAGGGGATGACGCTGTCGAAAGGTGCTGAAGCCTTCTGTGCCCCAGTAGAGCCGCTGGAACCGCCGTCCCTTGTTGGTTACGTTGAACCGGAAAATGCAGGGAACAGAGCTAGAAGAGAAGCAGAGATGGGAAACGTCATGGGAGCTGCTATTTCTCTGCAGTCAAGTGCTCTTAGTGAGCAATCTGAGGTGTTAAAAGCTTGGAGACCGTCCTCATTTCCCGCTCTTAATGTGGGCCAGAAATAATGTCTGATGCCCTTCCGATATCGCTATTGCAATGACAAATAGGTTTATACTGGTAAAGTAGTATTTCCACATCTTCCCTCTCCACAAGGGACTTCCTTCATCACCATGGCCTTTTTCCCTCACCATCCTGAGCTTCCCTTAATGGATCCAGAGTGAAACCATCACTTCAAGAACACTTTACCACCGAGAAGGCCACAAGAAGAGCATCAATGGGATGCCATTGGAATCCATGGAGTGGTGATATTTTCTTGACTGCATCGGGGTTTTTGTCATTCTCTCTCCCTTTCTCTCTTTTTCCCATTTCTTTCTACCTCTCTCTACCTCACATTTACTGTTAAGTAAAAATCTGTACTACTGACTTTGGCATATTGTCTCGTTTGCCTCTTAATTCGGGCAGAGGTGTCTCTCTAATAATTGAAGGAACCTGAGCATAGCAACATGTTTCTAAAGGAATCTCTGGCTTCAGGAAAACAGAGCCAGGGCCTGGAGCACTGAAGAAAATTTAGCCTGAAGGTCTACAGCATAACTGCTCCTTGCTGAGCCAAGAGAAGAGGCAGGAGTTAAGAGGTCTCTTACTTGAACTGGGGTTCCAGCTTGAGCTCTGGAGCAAACGGTTTGTCAATGGCAACTGTGGTGCCAATGCCCACAGCCTCGATGGGGATGACACTGGTAAGGCTGTTCTCAATGAACAGCTTCATGCTGTCTTCGAATTTTCCTGTGTCATCCAGGTTTGCCGTGACAACCACAGAAATCTCAGCCTTGGCAGGGACCACTCCCTCCCTGGGTTCAATTCTCCAGCACTTGCCATCCTGTGAGACAAGCCAAACATGCATTTAGGATGGAAACCATGGACCCTGGTGACTTGTAAGGTGTGAGGAAAGGCATGACTACAGAGAGGAGGATAAAAATTGGAAAGCCTTCATTTCCCTAAATCTAAGCTACTGTGTCTGGGCAAGAGCGGAGTTTATACAACCTGTATTTTACCCTCTTTTAACCGACTGTAACAGACTATTACATTTTGTATAATCTAAGGGACGCTCCTCCTCAGGAAAAGGTTATTCCTCCTCCAGTCTCTTTTTTGGAGTGTGTGCCAAGGGAAGCTTCTTTCTCTCTCCTGGCTTCCCCACAACAGAGCTGGGTTTTCACAAAGGCTCAAGGTTGCAGAAAGCCACGACTGCTCAAATCCCACCACAGCAGCCACACAGCTGGAGGACAGTGCTGAGAGCCTGAAGACTAACTCTGCAAAACCAGGGGAGCAAAACCCCAGCACCAAAGTCCTCGCCCCTGAAGGACCAAAGCCCTCGCTTGTCACTCATCATCAGCTGCAAAGAGGAGCTTGAGGACAGACCTCACACCCTGCTCTCTACCACTGACAGCGGTTTGGCACAAAGCAAATGTGGAGGGTATGAGGAAACCATAGGGAAATCCTTGGCCTCTCAGGAGCAAAGGGCCACAGGCTTCGCTTCATCTCAGAGCTCCAAAAACCTGACTTGCACCACTTAATACCTTCCACAAAATAAAGGGAGAACTTGAAACCACAGTCCAGACTCATTCTGCTCCTACAACTCTGCAAACTATTTCACTGAAGGTTGTCCCAGCTAAAACCACCTGCAGAGTCAGGCTCCTCTTGCCTCCTCTCTCCCACAGAGCAATACAGAAACCTTACATCCAAAATCCAAGTCCTGGGTTGCTACTGAGCAGTGAGTTTCACTGGAAAACATTCCCACAGACACTTACGATCTCTGCTCTGAAGGCTGCAGGGACAACACTCGCATTGCACAGCTGGAGAGTTTGGGAAGTGTCCTGGATCGCTCGGATCTTGCCGAAGTTTATCTTATTCACAGTTGCATAGACGAGCGGTACCTTTCCAGTGCACGTTAACTGCATTTGCTGTTCCAGGAAGCAGGTAAGAGAGATTTAAGAAAAGCAAACCAGAAAACAACAGGGAAAGTTAAGAAAGCTTAAACAGCTCAATAGCACTCAAGTCATTCCTTTAGGGACAGATATGACGCTCCAGCTAAAATGCTGGACTTCTAGGCAAAAATTTGATCTTCCCTTCCAAATTAAAAAAGATAAGTCAGGGAAACCTTCAACCTGTAAACTGTTGGCCCAAAGGTAAAAGCTTTGCAAGAAATCTGTAGTTTAAAAACAGTCTGAGAGTTAAAACAGCTGGTTATTCTGGTGGGGAGAAACCCTGCTCTGTAAGGGAAGCAGCCTGATAGTTATGTGCAAGTGTTGTTAAAAGTCAGGCTCCCCTGCACAGCCTGCACTGCCCGCCCTTCCTGGTGACTGGTTTACGTGCACAAGCGCGATGGCCCGGCTGGACACGTTTGGTGCCATCCAAAGGATTTGGCATCATCATTTCCATTTGCAGCATAAACGGCTTATGCTGCCAGTGCCTCCTGTCCTTGTCCACACCAGCCATATACGACAAGTCCCTGCTTTCCCCGGAAGAATCCCTGCACACTTCACACCCCCCAGGATGAGCTGCACAAAGGCACACGCCTCCCCTCGCACTCACCAGTGGGTGTCTTTCCTTCCCGAACACGGCGATGTCCACCACGGTGGAATGAGCACCCACTGCCTGGGCTTCAACTGTAATTGGGATCTCCAGCACCTCGTGACCCTGGATAATCCCACACGGCTTGGGGCAGGAGTACCACAGAGTAGCAGCCTCTTGGTGTCTCTGGAGGGACAGAATCGAGTGCAACTTCAGAGGGACCTCTGAGGAAACTTTAAACTGCTTAACATCTACCACAGTGGCAACTCACACACATTTTTTAAAAATCCCCAGGAAAAAGCTGAAAGGCACAAAAAAAGATGCAAGAATTGTTGGGGCTTAGCATCCTCAGGGTCCAAAAGCTGCTGCATCCACAAACACCCTCTCCTGTGCTGGCAGACTCCTTGCAGCAGCTTTTCACAACCTTCTAAGATCTCTCACAAGAAAACACCCCAAACACTAGAATATAAATTGCTTCCTGAAGAGGTTGAAATGCTTCCTGAAGTTGACAATATTCAGGCAGGTTCCTATTTAACTGCTTCCTAAAGTTTACATTCAGGTAGGATCTTGTCCTAAGCACACCTTTAAGTCTGAACGGAAACCAGCAAGGTCTTATTCAAACCCCATTTGTCCTTAATAAGCCCTTCAAAAATATTTGAGAGGAGGAGGTGGATGAGATGCCAAACCTGAGGGAGAACTCTGTAGCATCCTGGAAGGGAGCTCGGGTTCACAAGGGTCAGCTTTTGCTTGCAAGGCTCCTTTAGAGAGAACTTTCCACAGTCGAGGGTGGAGCAGAGCAAACGGAGGTCAGGAACAACACATCTGGGCAAAGAGATGACCCCGAGGGAATTAGAGATACGGAGAGAATGGAGAGCATTTCGCCCCGCAGAGCATGGACTGGAGCATAAGACATTTCTCACTGTCCAGCAGACGTTTAAAACCCCTACAGAGGTAAATCACCTTTCATGTCATTCCACTCAAACACGTCTTGTCAAGGAAGGGCAAAAGGTGCACGGGAAAAGATGAGCAGCTGCAAGGAAAGCACTGGTACCTGGCTTTGAGGCGCAGAGCCAACACCTCCTTGCCAAAACCATCCACGTCCACCACCATATCACAGTCGTATTGTCCCACATCATTGGAACACAGCGTGACCTGGTGGAAGAGAAGAGCAGCAAATATTTCCCTTCTCCCAGAAGCTCGTTACCCATGTGTGGTCTCCTCCGGGTCTTGTTTCCCAGTAAGGAAAGGGAGGATTTTGCTTTAATTCTTCTGCTGGCCCATATGCAGAGCACACATGGAGTAACACAAGCTATCTGGCAATATTGAATTTGTTAAACACACCTTGCAGCTGTCAGGGCACAGGTGGCTAAATGAAAGCATTATACATAATCATGGATAATGAGACTAAAGCTCCGAGTAACCCAGCTCCCATGCCAGGGCAGATCTCTCCCTCGCACACGCTGAGAGCCGGCAGCACTAAAGCCCTCCCACACACCAGTGAGGCTTCAGCCCCACCTCCTGACCCATGTATGGCCAGACTCCTCCCATACCGTGATCTCCTGGAATCCCTTGGAATGGATGGTGCCTGTGCTGGGTGTTATGGTAAATTCCTTTGGCTTCTCATGAAATTGAGCCAAGGTGCCTTTTTCCCAGCATGGGTGATCGTTGTCTTTCATTTGATCGAAGCTGGTAAGGCTGGGCTGTCCCTGGCCGTCCTCAGGAATGCGAAGGTGGAAGGTGACGGGCACCACGGAGGTGTTGATCAGGCGGCACGACAAGGTATGAGGAAAGCCTAGGAAAATGACACAAATGGCCATGTAGGCACCAAGCATCTCACAGTGGGAATATCCCGGCAGGATGAAACTGTGCTTGGAGTTTTAGCTCTTTGTTATCTGAAGGACAGCTCACTGAGCAGCTCAGTGAGCAATTAATCATCACTTGGACACTGACCCCAGGTTGCTGCCTTGGAAATGCCCACTCTTAGTCCTGCTGAACACCACAAGTTTCTCTCTCTCTAACTGCCCCAAACCAGCCCCATCAATTATTTCGCACTGATGAGTGTGCATCCACACTGACCATTTCCTCGGAAAATTCAAGCCATACAATTCCCTGTTAACGCTGCCAACGCTCCCACCATTTTCAAGATACAAAAGCACTGAGTTGTCACTGGGGAGAAGCTACAGCAAAAAAAAAGGGAGGATGGAATGGGGAACTGGAACATGATGCAAAGCACTCCAGTGCAGTTTCTTTAGGCAGGATCCTTAAGGTTTCTCCTGGCTTGGGGCAACAAGACTGAGCACGTACAACTCACAGCCCACTTCACTGGAGGCAAACCCAAGGCTTGCTCTGAGATCAGTGATCAGGAACCACGTCTCGCCTTATCCAACAAATGGGGACATCACAGCCACGCTGCACACTGGCTGTGATTGCTGCCCACAAGAGTTTACAGCACTTTCTCTCTGAGACTTGCTTCCCATAACGGAAAACCAGGCCCTCCTGGGACAAGGACTTTTACAGTCATTCTGCTGGCAAGGATTGGGAGATTGGAGCAGAAGAGACTACACAGGACACCAGAAAATACTGACTTTCTATTCCCTTGGTCCTTTCAGATCTCACGATGGCAAAATGCCATCAGCAGCCCTGGATTTAACACCCTGCAGGCTGCCGTGGAAGGGCAGGAGGGACAGATGCTCTTCTGTTCCAGTGCTCCATTTTGGCAAGGCACAGATCCCTCCTGCTGCGTCCAAGCCCAGGGAACACTCACCAAAGGAGACGTCACTGAAGTCAAGGGCTCCTGTGCTGAAATTCAGGCTCAGTCCAGTGACCTGGCCCCTGCGAGGACGAGGACAGAGGAGGCAATGGCTTGGTTAAAGGGAACTGCAAAGCCTTTGGCCGTCCTTCCGGCTCAGGGGGATAAAAGCTGGTGTCAGAGGCACCGTGGGTGTCGAACCAGCCCACCCTGTGCTCAGCACAGCCTCCGTGTGCACAGGAGGCAGCCGAAGCGCAGTGGTCAGCAGCCCACAGCTGCTGATGGGGCTGGGGCACCACGGCAGGCAGGGCATTGCCTCTCCTGTCATCACCCCTTCTCCCCTTTGCTGGGCGAGGATTATCTTTTGCAAAGGCACCAGCCCATGGGATGATGCCCAAGTCCTTGTGACAGTCCCTGCTGCAGAGCTCCCCATCTCCCACACCAGCATCAGAGGCAAGGCTGAGACCTCAGGCAACACCTTTTTTCTCTGTTCCACCACCAGATGAGGTAGGTGGGAGATGATTACCCAGAGACAGCTACAGATGTGCCCCCCAAGCTCCCAGAGCCCTCCTCACCTGATAGTAAAGGTCAGAGGCTTAGGGGATGTAGTCACATTGAACTGGAATTTTTCACAGAACTCCCCCAGGGTGGTGGAACTGAAGGAGATCTGGAGGGGCTGGAGCCCATTTGGTGGAATGATGCCCTGCTGGGGCAGAAAGCTGAAGCAGGAGCCGTAGGTGGTGGTTGAAGGGATGAGCTCAAAGGGAGTGTCAATATCTCCTTTGTTAACCAGCATTGCCTGCAACAGCAAGAAAGCAAAATGGAACCTTTCTTACAGAAGGCTGAGTTGCTTTCTAATAAACGATTAACCCCGCAAAGGCAGAAGATGCCGTGTGCTGCTACGTGGCAGAAGGCAAAAATGTACAACAGGACAAGTTCCCGTATTCAACCTCTGCCTTGAAACTTGAAAACTACTCTTCTCTCATGTGTGTTACTTGTGTTACAAATTGAACTGAGGGAATCCACGCTGAGCTGAGGTTTACCTGCAGTGGAGCTGCTTAGGACAGCCCTATCAGTATCGTTACTCATTCACCTTTTCACAGGTAATGACAATAGTACATTGATAGTGAGAAGTAATAAAGTATCAGCATCAAAAATGGAGAGAGAGCACAATCTTTTTATGTAAGAATACAACTCAGTTTGTCCTTCCCAGCCATGGCACAGCTTTTGAAAGTGTCTGGCATGATGTAGTGCCTCATTTTCTACTTTTTTCAGTTGCTCTCTCTTGCAGTGGACTCTTGCAGCCAGTTTGTTCCAGCTGCTCTTGAACAGCCCAAGCACAGAGGTGCCTTGAGTCTGAGGCTGGAACAGAAGCCTCTGAACACTTCAGCTTTTTGACCCAGTGTTGCTTTCATGTGTTGAGGGGTTGTTTTGCAGAAAGCATCCCAGCTGATCTCCAAGGGAGGTTGCCAAAAAGCAGGAACTGGGGCTTCATGAACAACAGACCACACCTTTCAGACCCCATAAAAGGTTCAAGATTGTGTGAAACCCCCAGATTTGACTAGTATGTCAAATATTCCCTGCTCACAACTGCCCAAGTTGCCAGAAATTCCACAGGTCCACCAGGCTCCCCGCTGCCCCAGGAGCCATCAGGATCCACCCCAGCCCCTGCTGCTCACCTCATAGCTGTAGGTTTCTCCAACAAAAAGTTTCCCCATGTTGTATTCCTCAAAGTTGAGTTGGAGGCAGGGCCCGAGGCCTTCCCCTGTGAGGCGCAGGGGCAGCCTGCTCTCACGGCCTGGGGAGAGATTTCCATTTCAGTACTGTAATTCTCACTCCCTTATCCTGCTTTTTCCAGGCTGCCTCAGTGCTACTTCCTGACTCCCAGATGGGTGAGACCAGCCCCTGATGCTCCAGGGGAAGAGATGGACCCTTCTCTTCCCTCAGGAGATACGCCTTGGGGCTGGCTTCCGATTTCTAACCCACCCCTTGGGCTTGTTTCCCATTTAGCCACCAGTCTGCACCCTGAAATAGCGATGCCCAGTTTAAAACATGATTTCTGTAGTGACAGGACAAGGAATAATAGACACAAATTGAAAGAGGGGACATTTAGGTTAGAGATACAAAAGAAATTCTTCCCTGTCAGGGTGGTGAGACCCTGGCACAGGTTGCCCAGGGAGGTTGTGGCTGCCCCGTCCCTGGCAGTGTCCAAGGCCAGGTTGGACGGGGCTCTGAGCAACCTGGGCTAGTGGAAGGTGTCCTGCCTGTGGCAGGGGGTTTGGGACTAGATGATCTTTAAGGGCCATTCCAACCCCTTAACAATTCTAGGATTTCCTTCCCAAGCACTTGGAGGAGCTTTGAAATCCGTTCAGTGAAGGGACAAAGCTCGCAAAGAGCTGGGCATTGCTGCCTGGCTTCTACCTAAATTGGGGTGCAGTGGCCCAACAGCACAGGACTTTGTTGACAAAGTCTTCTGCTGCTTTCTGACACTCAGCATGGTGTTCACAGAATGTCCCCCCGTGTTTGGTGACTGTCTCAGAACATGATTCTCATCTGACCATGTCAACAAACAGAGATGCACAGTTTCACGTGATGCAGGACATCCCAAGGAATGCCTTGGGAGCATCTTTTTACATTTGTGCTTTCCTTCCACAGCTCTAACAACAACAGTTGGTGGGCAGGAAGAGAGTTTGTTAGCAGGAGCCCTGAGTAATTCCTGTAGATGGCATTTGTTGAGTAAACCCTGCACAGTTACTGTCTAAATAAAAAGCTGTTTCATGACATTTGTATCCATCAGCTTGGAGCAGGAAGGAAGGCAACAGAGTGGCTGGGTTAGGGATTGCAGCACCCTGCAGAACAGGAACCTGGCTGCTGGAGGACCACGGGCCTCCCACCTCTTTCTCGTCGATGGGCAAACCCAGAGTATCCCCTGGATGGAAGCCTGACAGCCATCTCCCACTTACAGGTGAAAAACACTAAGCAGCATCATGCAGAGACAGAGAGGAAGGACAGGGGAACCTGAACCACGCTGTGCTCTGCGAGCGTTCCCTGCCCTGTGTGGGCACAGCAAAGCCCACACACAGGAAGAGAAGCAGGTGCTGGCCAGGGGTGGTCCCTCTGCAGACAGCCTGGGCTCAGCAGGGCTCAACCACCTCTGGTCTGGTGTTGTTTGGGCAGTGGGAGGTGACCCGGGCTCAGGGAGCACATTTCTACCTCAGCTCCTACTGCCTGCTGATGGATCCATGTAATGAGGACCCATCCTGAGGTCAGTGGTCTAGAGGGGCTTAGTGCCTGTTCCCTAAAGCTGCTCTGCTGTGCAGCTCTTTGGCCTTGGAGCAAATCCTGGCAAACCCATGGCATGAAAGCTTATCCATGCACTGCTTGGATTGTTCTGGGATCAGTGTCCTGAGCCCTGGCCTTGCATGGGAGACCACCTGGAAGCCGCAGGGACAGTGCACGAGCCAGCACTGCCCTGCTGACCATGGACCCTTGCCAGCACTTACACGGGAGCCCAGTGGGCTGCAAGAGTATTTGCACCTCCCCCTCCCTGGGGGTGAGAGAAAGAGAAGGAGCCGTACCTGAGATGTCACAGTAGGCCACTCTTTCATAGACTTGGGCTTGTTGGGGTTTAAAGAACACCTTGATTTCCGCTGAACTATGCGGACCAAGCTCTCCCTCCTACAACAGAAACAGACAGCAAACCATTTGCCTTCCAATATCACATTTCTTCTTTTCAACCTGCAAGCCTTTACTTAGAGCAAGGAGGAACAACACAAGGAGCCCGAGGAAACACTCCAAAAGCAGCTCAACACACCACAGGATGCTCTTAATGCTCAGCTGATCAGCTCCCACTCTACAATATTCCTACTGCTCTGACACAAGCTCTTGGTCACATCATGCTGCTGTCAGCTGCAGTGGTGTGAAACTGCTGTTGTGCTGACACTGGTGGTTCTTGGTCTTAGTGGGGGCTCTAGGAGTAACCAAGAAGAGAACATGATCCCCTTCCTTGGAAAGAAAACACTTAGTTTAACTTATTTTAAAAGAAAGCAGAGGCTGAGATTATTGTAGGGTTTACTGCAAGATGAGGAGGGCTTTTGCACAGTGCAGACAGCAGGGATTCTTCATCTCACACTGTGCCAGTACTCATAATCAGGGCTCTGGTTGATGGAAGGACATGGGGGTTTGCTTGCATTAACAGGAAAAGATTTTCTGTCCCTGTGTGCAATAGAACTCAAAAAGTCCATTTCAAGGTCTTGTGTCCAGGCTCCCAGATGATACTGGAAGGGAGACTCAAACGTGCTCTAAGTCCTGGTTACAGGGAGGGATTGGCATTTCCATGACCTTGGGCTGAATTTGGCCTCCTTTTCACTTCAGGTCAATCTGTGAACTGACAATGCTTCAACACCTCTGGTGAGCCCCACACATCCCGTGTAAGCTGTGCCCCTTCCTACAGTAACCGATCCCTCTGGACACTGCAAGAACACCCACCAAGGTCCCTTGACATCGAGCCCTTGCAGCAGAGCTCAGCTTTAGGCAGATTCCTGCTGCCTGCCAGGAGCCCCCAGGGTAGCAATGCTTTTTGCAACCAGCTCTGCAGCCTCACCAGAAACCCGACGTCTGTCTTCCCTCTGGGCACATCAAGCCAGCTGAGGTGGGGATCTGCCCAGTGACCTCATTCAGGCAGGGGGAGGAGGAGGAGCTTCTCAGCTATCACTTACCAAGGGCTCAATGGTGAAAACGTCGTCTGAGAACAACAAGGGGTCTGCTTGAATCTTTGCTGTCTCAGTCTCAAGCTCCTCGTAGTAAAGGCGAACCTCCTCATAGCGTTCCATCATCAAATCCTTCGCTATGTCCTGGGGCGGCCGGGACAGTTTGTGAGACAGCCTGCAGCCACAGGGAGAAACAAATGCAGCAGCTCATTTAATAAGCCACTTCTTTGCAGGGCCAGTTGATGAATTTAGGCATGGCATCTCTTCAGTGACATTAAATTTCATGCATGTTATATGCATGAAAACAGAGGCCCTGAGAGGGGACCATCTAGCCTTGAACCACCTTCCTTTTTTCCTCCTTTTGGCCTTCTCTGCAGACCTTTGGCACAGTTAACCTCTCCATTACTTGGCAGCTGCAGCAGGAATCATTCTAGTGTTTTAAGATCACAGCCAAGAGATGAGAAAGGAACAGTTGCTTCCAAGGTCACTGACACTGTTCAAGGTGGAGGCCACAGCACTTCAAAATGGAGGACATGGCCACACGGTCCTCCCGTGCTGCTGGTTGGTCCCCCTGTCTCTGGGCAAACTGCACCTCTCTGGAACTGACAACTGAACAACCAGCAACTTTGTGGCTTCTCACTGTGAGCTGTGACTGCCCTGCAGACTTTGCAGGAACACCTACCTGTTCCTAATACCCTCAACCCCTCAAAAGCACAAGCACTCCCTGAGGCCACATGTTAGTTTTACCCTCAGGCAGTGTATGCCACTGCATCTTTCAGACCCACCCGATCTTGTGGTGATACTCCTCTTCCTCAGTGACAAAAGTCTTCCACTGGAATCGGACTGTGGTGTCACTTCTGTTGTGGATGGCCATGGTTTTGTGGCTTGACAGTGTGAGATAAGTCTTGTCAAGTTTTAAAGAATAGTTGCCCAGTCCGATGTTGAGGTCCACAGATTCTCCAACAAGTCTGGTGCGGATATCTGGACCTGGAACAAAGCAAAGAGGAATCTTTACTCAGCTCACAGCTGATGGAATTACAAGGAACAGAGGAAGCCACAGGAAACAGAAGAAAGTGACCAGCTTTTAGCTGGATAAGTAATTCCACGGATCAGTGCATTGATCAAATCCCAACAGTGTGAGGATATCCTGGACACCACTTAAGCACCTTATTTCGGGGTGTGTTTGTAGAGATTTGCCCCGAGGTGACAATATTTACAGTGAGATTTGTCAGGGGTGCTCAGGTGACCCACTCAGATCACAGGTAATTCTGCACCAAATTCCTTCAGGTGACTCTAAGGAGCCCCACTCAGTCACAGCCCAGGCTCTCCTGAAGGCACCCCACGAGACTCCTGTCTCTCCCAATCCCTTGTTGCTGACAAGCAAAGATTCCTGGGGGCAGGTGTGAAGAAAGGGAGCTCCAGGGGAGCAAGGGGAGTGAAGCCCACGGCAGAAGGGGACAAAGGTGAGGAAACAAGACACAATGCTCTACAACATTCAATATCACAAACCACTAGAAAATCAACACCATGAAAACCGTCATCCCCTCCCTGTCCAAACCCACGGCCACATCAGTCTAGAAATATCTGATATCATTCTGATCTCAAACACCAAGCTGAAGCATTTGAAATGAAAGAAAGAAGGGCAGAAGGAAAGACTAAAAGTACAGAGCAGCTTTTATACAAAGACTGAATGGGGTTCCTAGAAATCAAATGGGAGACAGATGAGAGAGCTTTGGAGAGCGTAGATGGCCTGGGAAATCAGACTAAGGAAAAAATTGTCATGATTTGTCATCAAGGAACCTGAGGACCTGAAAATGTTCTTAGACAGAAATTACATGTAAATGTAGAGGGCAACAGAGAAAAAGGGTCTGTGGCAAGACAACAGAGAAGCAGATTAGGGGACAGAGGGGAGCAAGACACACATTGCGTTGGAGAGAGTCAGATGGAAACCTCACACATCACACACAGCACTGTCCAGGAATACAACTTCAGCCCTGCATATCCACACTGCAATGGAGAATCAGGGTTCCTCCTTCCTCCACTCAGCAACACTCACCAAAACAGGATTCCAAAAATCTCCTCCCTGTTTGAGGGCGTCCATGATTTCAACCCCCTAAACACTAACTAGCTTTCCCTTTTCTTTGTGGTAAAGCTGGGATGGGGTGGTACTGCTGGAGGGGCAGTTCAGGTGGCTGGGACAGTGGGGAGGGCTGGTAGAGGACTGTCGTGGGGGTGCTGTTTGGAGAACACCATGGATGGAGAACATCAGGGTCCCCCCAGGGATGGACCAGCACACAGCAACGCAGCACACCCAGAACAGGGACAGACTCAGCCTTGGCCCCTTCTTTGCTCACTTCTGAGCACTGAAACACACGGAGGCTTTGAAAGGAACACTTCTACAAGCAGTTTGCAGAGCAAGTCTAACATTATTCTGCTTAGAAAGGGCTCTGCTATTTTGAAGGATGCAGAGCAAGTGCACCGTGCAGTGCCCAGCACTCACCTATGTCGCAGTGCACCTCCAGGAATGCGGAATGATCCCCGGTATCCAGCGGGCGATATTCCACTGTCACTTGCATGGCTTCACCAACCTCGAGGGTTCCCGAGGCTGGGCTGACAGTGAAAGGGCTGCAAGACCAAGAGAGAGATCAGGACTCGTGGGGGAGGTTTGGGGACAATATTTGCAGTCTAGTTCACTTCAGCTGACTTGTGGAAGCAAGGAGCAAAGCAACCACAGTCAGCAGAAGACACACAGAACACACAGCATCAGCAACAGCTACTGACTCTCTTCTGAGGACATCCAGCCCTCAGAAGATCCTGTAGGATAAAATGAACTCATCTCCCCCATACTCTGCAATGAATGATGGTTTGACAAAAATTTAGCACAGAACAAAATAAATTTAAAAAAGAACAGAAACACGGGAACTTCTGAGTATTTTAAAAGAAGTCTGAAGGAAATCTGCTTGAAAATTTATACTGGCTTTCAAAGGTTCTTCATGAAACAGAAGAGATGGCTGATGCCCTCAGCTGACAAGGGAACTCAGATCAGCTTTGACTAACAGGAACAGCACAGGCTGTTCACAACACAGCTCACGTTGGGCATCTGATGAGGGGCCCCCTGATATGCCACACGCTTGTGGCCTCCTAGAGAATGGGTTTATTTGGCTGACAGTGGGAGGCAGCCATTTCAGAAGGTGGTGGTGCACAGGAGGGTGCAGACCAACTACTACCACGTTCCAGCAGTCCCCAGGAGATCTGGGAGACAAAGCTCAGGGGTTGCATCCTGCTGAGAACACTAGATGCAACAGCAGACCCCACACGCCCTGCCCATTTCCAGCTGTGGCTGCAGTGCAGCAGCTCGGATGCTCTGGCTCCCCTGGGATACCCTTTCCCAACTCTGCCATCACCCAAAGGTGTTTTGCAGTAAGGCAGATGAGCTGCTTTACCTCTCAGTGACGAGGTTGAATTGGGCTTCCAGGTTACCGCTGTTGTGAACCAGCAGAGTCTTCTGGGTGCTGTAGTTGACTGGGCACTCCGAGAAGTCCAGCTGGTCAGGGAAGTCCAAGATTGGGCGGGCACCAATGGCCCGGATTGGCACAGTGAGAGTTTCCTTTTTGGTGGTGCAGACAAGCTCATGGAAATGATCCTGCAGGAAAAGGTCCTGGCACAAGAGAGGGCGTTGAGTGTCATCCCCATGGCAGAAGAAAAAGTGCTGTTTTCTGTGACCCTTTGTGGGTATGAATTTACCTCTTCCTCCCCAAAAATGACCACTAATTCATACTAATAAAGGCTGGAGAAGAGACCATGTGAAAATCATCATTTTTGCTGCATTCCAGTGGGGAAAAAGAAAGGCCTCTGGATCTTTTGGTTCCTCTGGTATTTTCCATAATGAAACCCCTTCCACTGAGCCTAGAGATGGCTCAACATCAACAGCCCTCCCTGTCATTTCCCTCCTGTTCCATCTGCCTCTTCCCTTGTGAACATTCCAGAATAGGCATGGAGGGAAAGCAAAGCCCTCTCGGCCCAGCTGCAGGGACTGGCAGCACCACGCCGTGCCAAGGTGTGACCAGCTCCAGGCTGCCTGCCCCCAGCCCAGAGCCGACCTCACAGCACGGGCTGGGCTATAACCAGTGTGCAGCAAATGCCCTGGCTTTAGAGAGGGTGTTCCTGCAAACTCACCTTGTTCCCCTTAGGGATGAAAAGGATGTTTATAGTACAAAACGATCCCGGTAGCACCTGATGGCACACACCATTGGGACCGACCAGCTTGAAATAAGGTGAGCTGTCCATGGTGACCGTCACCAGCTGAGTAACCTGCAGGAAAGACACAAAACGGTGATTTTGCCACTTGTGGAAACAGGAGGAGACCTGGGTGTGCCCTGGTGACAGCCTTCCTTGACCACTTCTCCAAAGGACTTTCAGTCTGGAGGTACAAGCACAGCATACACGAGGGTGAACTTGAATCCCTTCTGCCTGGGCAAAGCAGCTCGGCCAGAGGCAGCAGGGCAATGCCTGCTGGGAAGGAAGGTCAGGCACCAGCAGTATGGAGATAGAACACCTGAACCAAGTCATTCTCATTTGCAACAAGCCCAGAGAATCTGCTGGCTTCTGCCTGCACACAGCCAGGCAGCCCTGTTCCAGAGGCAGAATGGGCTACCTGAAGGCAAACCAGCACATTATCCTGGGGGAAGGAAGAAATTGCCTTCTAACAGACTGAGTTGGAGTGGGGAAGTCCAGCTGTGGGGAGAAAGTCCTATGGGCACACCAGCAAGAGGAGACCAGACACTTGGCCTTACTGGGAAACTGAAGAGCAAAAGGAGGAACACAGAAGAACAGAGGCAGCTAAACAGGCTGAGAGAGGCAGAGATTCCCGCCAGGAACCAAGATTAACCAAGGAGCCACAGGACGTGGTGGTGGGCACTCGAGGGGAAGCAGGAGAGCAGGTGAGAACTGCACAGCCTTCCCATCAATCCAGGGCTTTCAAGGAAAAGAAGCTCCTTTGGGGGAGATACCAGCAAGGCAGGGCTGCAATCAGGGAGAACCCTCAGCAAGGGAAAATTTCCATCTTGCAAATCCAAGGTGATGATTCTGGATGTGCTCCAGCTGATACTTGCTCTGCTCTACACCACGGGGATTACACCACTCTCCTCTTTTTCTAGCACAGTGTTAAAGCTCCACATGCCAGCACTTACCTTGTCTCTATTCCTCAGAAGCAGGGGCATTTCACAGACCTCGCCAAGGACATAGTTGTGAAACACCACCTCGGATGGGCTTGGCTCAAGGAAGGTCTTGGCCCGGCCGAGTGGCCAGAGCTGGAAAGAGAGAGCAGGGAGAGGTTCAGCTGCTGGGAGGAAGGTTCGTGAGTGACACTCCTCTGTTGGTCCCGGTGAAGTACAGGCTCTTGGTGACCAGGTCTGCCCAGCTGCCACTGGGGGAACAGTAGCTCACCCACCTCTGCTCTGAGCTGATCAAAAGCTGCTGCACCACACTGAGCAGGCTCAAGCTGAGCAGCTCTTTTGGCAGGTGTTTCTCCTGCTTTCCTTCTCCAAAATGCCAGGCAGCGCTTACCTCCGGCACAGCCCACAGCTAATGGGGTCCCAGAGCTCTGGGCACTGACTGAGCACTCAAGCAGTAAGTGAAACCCAAGAATTTACATCAGACTCCCTAGCAAACAATTTTTGGATGACCTTTACTCTGAGGCAGGGAGACTGAGGCCCACACAACTCCAGACTCTAGAGCTTAGATGTCAGTAAGAAGAGAACCTCAAGCACCAGAGGAGCTGGAGGGCAAAAGAAAGTACCACAGTAGACAGGAGTAGGACAAATGAGGTGAATGCTGGGTGAGGATAAGGTTCAGCTCTTTTCTCAGCAGTACCGGGCAACTTGAGTAAGACTGGAGTTGTGTTAAATTGGGAGTAATTACCTCAGGCCCTCAGCCTTCAAAGGCCAGCGCTGCCACTGTGGAGGGAATCCTATGACCCCCAGCATTTGTCAGTGCTGACACCAAAGCAAGAGGTGGCTCTTCGAGTGGGACAGGGGAAAATGGCAAGCTTGTGCCCCTGTGTCCTGCCCCAGCCTTCCCCCGGTATCGTGCCTTCGCGATGGTAGCTAAAGTGCAGCAAAGCCCACCAGCTTCATCAGAAATTATTGGTGTTGGCTCAGCACAGATCAGGACTCCAGCATCTCACTAGGAGAAAATGGTTTGCCTTTGCCCCAGCAGAAGGAATTCCACCACCACCACCAGCAGTTTGGAACGACAACAGGACCTGGACACTGAGGTGTTTCAATAAGCTGGAGGCAAGGCACGCAGCCTCTTCAAATGTCACCTCAAACAGCAAGGAGAAGGGCAGGAAAAGGCTACCTTGTTCTTGGAGCTCGCACTCTTGTCTGGCTGCTGGACAATCTTGGGCAACTTTGTCTTCGGAGGGCTGTCCAGCTTCTTCCTGAACCTGCGACCCACCTCCCTGAAGTCAAAGACGGTCAGCTGAAAGGCAAAAAACCAAGCAAGAGCCTCAGAAATGCCCTTGTTCAGAAAGGCTTTTCTTGTTTAAGTGGCTCTGATGAATCATTTGTGATCACAGCCACTAGCACAGTGCTGGAAGTCCTGGAAGTTACTTGCTGAAATATGTAACACCAGAAAATGAATGGTATAGAGCAGAACACACTTGCTCTAACCAGGCAGCTTGGCCTCATTAGCTTCTCCATGATTTGATGTGACACGTGTGGGGATTTCTGCTCTTTGGGCATTTGTGTCCTCTTTACTTTCACTGGATTGAGCCAGTGACCTTTGCAGAGAGCGGCAAACTCCCTTAACTCCCTTCTTGCCCAAGGCTCATAACCCCCAGCGTGTCAAGATGTCACTGCTGGCTGAGTCTGAAGGAAGCAGAAAAGCAGCGCTGTGCCAAGACCGAGGTACAGAGGAATAGGTGCATCATTCTCTTTTTTTAATTAGCACGGGTTTTCTCTCTGTCTGGCCTCACAGTCCCACCCACAGAAGAATACAGAGAGATGTCCTTGACAGAGCCTCAGCACTGGGTCACCTCCAGTCAAGTGAGCTCCAGTCAGCAAAGGGGACATTTGTGGGTGGGTAGGAGGAGTTGCCCCAATTCCACTGCTGCCTGCAGGGCTGGATCTGTGCTCCACACAGGAGATGAGATGGAACAACTGGTTAGGAACCTGTTTCAGGGGGGACCAGCCACGTCTCTCAAGGCTTCAGGCAGAGCTTGAGCTGCCTACCACATGCCCAGGTGCCTGGAGGGCAGGTCTGGTCAGAGTAGCACAGTGAGTGTGCCAGCCTGACAGAAGGAATTCCTGCCCACATACAGGGGACAGAAAGAAGCACAAGCTCATGTTCAGCTTTGCATTCGTTTAACTTGGCACAGCCAGGCAAGACTCTAGTCTGTCCCTGACCCAGCATGACACCCCCTGCCAACAGAAGCACGGCCCTAAGAGCTGGGGAGGGGGTCTGTAGCTTCATGGTGCTGCTGGACAGCAA